AGTTGTGCAGCGAGGGCAATCTCGACCCAGAGGAGGTGAAGAAGGCAAACAAAAAACGACGGGAGCTACGAGACAGCGCGAAGACCCCGCTGGACGGTACCGAGATGTTTGAGAAGTGCGCTAAGTCGGAGGGAGCGGCCAGCTCCAGCTGCCGCAAATGAGAGAGCCGACTGGGGCCCACTGACAACGACAAGAGGTGAATTAGCGAGGTTATCTCGGGGTGCGACTCCAGGCAGGCAGGACGGGCAGACTCAGCGGGGCAATCACTAGCGGGGCCACCTCGGCGCGTGGACCCTCAAGAAAGAGCTCGCGCAGACAACGTCTTGGGAAGTTTTTTTTTGTGGAGTGCCAACAGGTACGCTACTGCGCGGAGTGAGGAATGGAAAAAAAACGATAACCACGAAGGCCACAAGAGCGCATCCTCGATGACCCCACCTCCAACATGCCGTGACTACCAGCACGCTCTTCCCGACTTACACATCGAGGGGGAAGAGTGGGATATTGCAGCATGGTACCAGGGCACAGTCACGACAATGCATGGAACAACTATCGGCCAGTTCGTTCTGGAAGAGAAGTGAGCCGAGAGAGAGAGAGAGAGATAAAGAGAGAGAGAGAGAGAGACAGAGAGAGAGGGAGAACTTATATAATCTGATACCATAAAACCAGCCTGGAATGCATGGGCCTCCTGACTTTCCTCCCTTTCTCCTTTCGAACGGTCGCGCCGTCGTCTCTTCCCCCCTGGCTTGGGAGCCCTGCTCGCCCGGCGCGTCCCCATTCCAAGGGCACGCGGAATGGGCCAGTAGCTGCCCCCCCCCGCGCTGACCCGCATGGACTCGTATTCACAAGGCAGCGAGCCTTTCTTACGGGGCCACCTCGGAGCTCACCCCTTGAAGCTTCGGGGCATGCCCCTGCCTGCCCTGTGAGAAATCAGGGCCGTTGCACAAACATCGCAGGGAATTTTGCTAGACGCGCGCGCCGCACCACTCTAGCTGTGTTGACGTTGGCCCCCATCATGCGGATGTCCTGTCCTGTCCTGTCCTCTGTCCTGTCCTCTGTCCTGTCCTGTCCTGTCCTGTCCTGTCCTGTCCTGTCCTGTCCTGTCCTGTCCTCCTCCTCCTCCTCCTCCTCTGCCTCCTCTCCCCCCTTCTCCTATTGCGCCCCGCCGTCTCCCTAGCCCCTCCTCCGTCGTCTCCGTTCTTCATTCCTTAACTCCCCGAGCCCTCCGTTCCGCCATCGTTTCCACCTCCCTCTGCCGATGTCCCGCCATCCTCTTCTCAATCCCGTCGCCTCCCCCCCTCCGCCCCGTGCGTTGGCGCTCCGCGCCGTGGCTCCCGCACTCTTCCGAGCAGTGTGCGGGCGACCCGAGCGGGCCTCGTCTTCGGCAGTCGTTTCTGGCCACCGGGCTCCAGCCCGGCCGCGCTGCCCCATGCAGCTGGGGGCCTGCCAGCCGCTTGTTGGCGGTCTCGCGGTTTCTAATCAGTCTGAGGTTGGCAGAGCCCCCACCCTGCCAAGCCAATCAGCGAATTGCGATTGTCGTGCTCTCTCGAGAGGTTGGTGCCTGTTTTTCTTTGGATTCGGGCAAGTTTACTTGCATGGACGGGGGGGGGGACTGAGTCTGAAGCAATCCGAAAACAATTCGACGTGCGGAAATCACGCAAGTCGAAAGGCACTTGCACGCTCGTGTTCGATTGAAGAGGGGCGAGGGGGGAGAGGGGGGGGGGCGAACGCCATGCAAGTAAGCTTGCCTGGATCTAAAGAAAAACAGGCTCTTGCTGCGTCCGCGACTCTTGCGGGCCTGCCCGGGTCTGGCCTCAGGCCGGTTCCGGGGAAGGAAGTTTCGCAACCATGGCTGCTATCCCCCCCAGAGTTCCGCGGATCGCGTCTCTTCCTGCTTCTCCTCGGTGCTGCTGCTGCTGCTGCTGCTGCTGCTGCTGCTGCTCCTCCTCTTCCTCCTCCTCGACCTTGGCCGTCGGCCATGGTCCCCAGCCCCGCGCACCCTGGGCGCCGACCGGGATGTGAGAGGTCGGGCGCCCACGCCCGAGTGGCTCACTGCAGGGGCACGGGACGCGTCCAGCTGTGAAGGGGGGGGGAATTGGGGAGGATGGGATAGGGAAGGGAAGGGGAGGGGGAGAGGGGGGGGGGGAGGCTCCGGGAGGGGGAGCTAGGGGGGGGAGGGGGGAGGGGGAGGAGGAGGGAAGGGGAGGGGAGGGGGAGGGGAGGGGAAGGGGAGGGGAGGAGAGGAGGGGGGGAGGGGGAGGAGGGGAGGGGAGGAGACAAGCTAGGTGCGCTCGCGTCATATCTGACATCCGACCCCTCCCTCCCATCCCCTACCATGGCGTAGATCCCCTCTCTACTCGCACAGTCGGATGTCGAGCAGGGCAATGATCCCGAAAGGGTACGCGATGCATTGCAGAGCACGGCATGGCATGGCGTAGAAGAGCACCGCAAAGCGTAATATCAACCTAGCATTGCATTGCATGCCGTGGCATGGCACGGGAAATAACGCCAGCGCTGCAGCGGGAGCACGAGTCGAAACGAGCGGAAGCGCGGAAATGAGGCCAGCGCTGCAGCGGGAGCACGATTCGGAACGAGCGGAAGCACGGAAATGAGGCCAGCGCTGCAGCGGCAGCACGATTCGGAACGAGCGGGGCCCGAAAATGAGGCCGGCGCCTCAGCGAGAGCAGCATTTGGGGGAAAAATGCAGGCGAAAACCCAACTCCCGGGAATCCTGTGTGTAAAAAACAGTACGCGGGGGGGGGGTCGAATATTCCCAGCACGCCATCAGGGGAAGAGGGCGAGTAGTATTCATCTTGAGTAAGTGTGGAGGGAGGGAGGGGGAGGGGAGGGGCAGGGGGAGGGGAGGGGAGGGGAGGAAGGAGGGGGGGGGGGGGGGAGGGGGAGGAGGGAGGGAGGGAGGGGAGGGGGGGGGAGGGCGAGGGAGGGGAGGGGAGGGGGGAGGGGAGGGAGAGGGGAGGGGAGGGGAGGGGAGGGAGGGGAGGAGGGAGGAGGGAGGAGGAGGAGGAGGGGAGGAGGAGGAGAGGAGGAGGAGGGGAGGAGGAGGAGGAGGAGGAGGAGGAGGAGGAGGAGGAGGAGGAGGAGGAGGGAGGAGGAGGAGAGGAGAAGGAGCAGGAGGAGATGGAGGAGGAGGAGGAGGAGGAGGAGGAGGAGGAGGAGGAGGAGGAGGAGGAGGAGGAGGAGGAGGAGGAGGAGGAGGAGGAGGAGGAGGAGGGGAGGGGAGGGGAGGAGGGGGAGGAGGGGAAGGGAGAGGGTTCAGGACTGGGGCGTCCGCCGGTGGGGGCTCGCTCCGGGCGCCGCGCCCGAGCTCCGACGTGGCTCGGACCGCGGCGGTCCGGTCGCCCTCGGCAGCGGAGCTTCGGCCCGGTCGCCTCCGCCCTGCTGCGGGCCCGTGTTCCCGCCCCAGACCCCCTCGCGTCGTGAAGAGATCACGACGGGAGGTTTTTCACTAGTTTCGCCCTCTGGAGGTCCTTGCGGGGCCTCGGGACCGTCAAGAGACGACTCGGAATGCAAAACCGGTCCCGGCGAAAGGGTCCAGACCTCTGGGGGTCGACGTTGTGAAAAAATCACGACGCCGGGGGTTGGGGACGCGTCGTGGAGGCGTCGCGAGGGGAGCTTCTCCAGACCGGGGGCCTTCGCTGGGACAGTCCAGAAGCGGCGGCGGGCGAGGTCGACGACATGTAAGAGTGGCCATTCGCCGGAGTGACCTTTGGTGCGGGCCCACCGGGCCTCCCCGATCGCCGAGCGCGATGTGGTAGTAGCGTAGTGCGTACTCTTTTTTTTGGTTCCCCTGCGGCCTCAAGAAAGCCGCGCACCAAAGGTCACTCTTACCCAAGGTCACTCTTGCGTGTAGCCGAGAGGGGGGAGGTGAGAAGGAGAATGCCTTCTCAGAAGGCGGCGGGGCTTCTCAGAAGCCCTCGCGCATTTGAGAAGATTTTTGGTGTTTGGGGAAGGCTTCAAAAACACTTTTCGGATGGCCCCCGGACCATCGAACCTTCTGAGAAAGAAGGCGTTCTCCTTCTCACTTCCCCCCCCCCTTCGCTCGCCGCCGACACAATCGACCCAGGATGAACGGCTGCTCCAGGGGAAGTGGTCTCAGGCGTTTCTGGGATGCCATTCCTTGCCGCGAGATCCGGGCGTGGCGTCCTGTTTCCGGACCGGGCGTCTTCGGCCTCTGGGGATCCTCGCTGGGCGTCTTAAGCCGTCGAAGAGCGGCTCAGGAGGCACAGCCGGCCCCGGGGAGCGGTCAAGGCCTCCAGGGGTCCACGCTGGGAGTCTGGCGCTCGGACAGTCCAGGTCTCCGATACTGGGCGGGGGCGCCCAGGAGGGGCCGCCAGGGACTCTTCCTCGAGCTCCCCGCTGTTTTCCAGCCGTGCTCGCGATGTTCTGGAGGTCTTTCGCAAAATCAGATCTCAAGAGTTTTGATTTCGATGCCCCAGTGGTGCCTCCATAAGAGTTCCTTAGGGGACAGCTGGTGCTTGCCGGGTTGCTTTTGCACCATCCGCGGCCGCCTCAGGCCGTCTTTGCCGAGGGCCCTCCTGCCACCTGCGCGCTTGTTTGGTTTGGGGCGCCCTCTATCTTCCGCCCTTCCCCCCCTCTTTGCGGAGGAGGAGAGGGGGGGAGGATGAGAAGGAGGACGATGAGAACTCTGTGTCCCTGATTGCCCCCCCGTGGCCTTCTGAGCCCCCCTTCCTGCTGTAGCTCTCCTTTTCCACCTCTCCCGTCCCCTCTTGCACCCCCTCTCTCCCCCGCCCCCTTGCCGTTGTTCTCCCATCCGTCACCCTCCTCTTCTTCCTCCCCCCTCCCCCTCCTTTTCCTCCTCTTGCCTCTCCCTCTCCCTCCCTCCCTCCCTCCCTCCGTGGGAGGGGGCAGCAATACAGGAGCGAGGAGGGGAGAGAAGGCCGGGGAGGGGGGAAAAACACCTCTCCCCCACCCCCTCCATTTCCTGCCTCCTCCCCTCCCCTCTCCTCCCCGTTGCGCCGCAG